ATATCAGTGAGTTATTTTGATGGAATGGTCGATATTTAACTTTATCGCTAACATCGGTCGATACCGATACCATGCCGATAATATCGTGCATCCCTAGCCCATTAATAAAGTGACCAAGCCTGGGTTTACAGTTTTGGTAAACACAATGGATAAGTTGTACAGGATGCCCTTGTGCACACATTTTAGCCCAGTTGCTATCCTGGAGCTGCACAAAACAATGCAGAAACAGAGTTGCAGCTGAGCTGAAAACAGTGGAGTTGTTTGCAACGGAAACAGATTTATTGTTTGTGTTCGTTGAAAAATACATGAGAAGAAGACATGGAAAAATTATCGCATATTAAATTGCCTTTGCAATATTGAGGTTAAAAAAAATTGCATTTGAATATTTTCCAAAATCGTTCAGCCCTCATCTACAGTTGCTGCTCAGTTAGCTTAAAGGAACATAGATACTTGGTTAGGTTTACAAAAACCTCTCGGGAGTCGAAGTAAACCGTTTCAGAACGCAGGAGGAAGATTCACACGGATCTGACGCGCCAGACATCGATGGAGAGGCTGCTTTACGATCTGCAGCCTCGTTAAAATAAATCCTTTGTTAGTTCAGAGCAAACGATCTTAAACCAGAGCACTAAAACAAATCACGTCTGCAAAACACAACACGACGAAGTCAGCTTGCATGTTTGAAAACTGACAACTGCAAAAAACAGACGTGTCTGCGCTGCGTTTTCCTGAGCGGCTCAGTTTTAACATTGTTCTGGTTAATGTGACAAATTAACAAAGGTCATAATTCACATGCGTTCATTTAAAACGTCCCGTTTACCTATTTGCACATCTCAGTATTTCTTACTCTTCTCATTTCCACAGACTTCTCATGTGGCCGTTTGAAAATGTTGAAAATACAAAACGGCAGTAAACGTGTCAAAACCCAAACCCTGATTTAGGGAGTAAATATGCTGCGCCCGTGGTTCCCAAGCTTTTTCATTTACAAACCACAAAATATCTACGACATAAAATCTGGACCCACGCTGTTGCTGGTTAAAGTACACAAACATTTAAGCAAACAAATGTGAACACAAACAGCCACTGCAGCCATTTTAACCATTCATTCAACCTTTATTTAAACAGGCTAGTCTCACTGAGGCACGAGGACTCATTTACAAGAGAGACCTGTTCCAGACAGAACATGTAAAGTACAGACATTAACAATAAATTACAGTAAAAATGAAGTTAAATAAAACAATAAATCCAGGTGCCGTAAAACAGGGTGAAATACTAAAAACAAGAACATATTTATTTATAGTTTTTGCAACAGTTTAAACACAAATCTAAAGTTTTTCTTCTGCTTGTCCGAGGCGGCGCAGAGCGATGGATCCTGGTGAGTGGAGGGAGACATTTTATCCACCATCAGGTGCAGTGGAGGAGCCAGGGGGTGGCCAATGGTGGCCTTGGCCCCCTTACATTAATTTTCAGCCAATCATTTGAGGAAACTAATACGGTCGAAGCAGAAGGCCGCTTGTCCTGAGTCTGGTTCTGCTAAAGGTTTCTTCCTCATGAGCGAGTTTTTCCTTTCCACTGTCGCCTTCAAGCTCAAGATGAGAGTTCTGTGATGAACTCAAAATCAGTCTGCTCCTCAGATAAATAGTGTTACCATAAATTATTATTTTTATATATGAATGTTTCTGTTAACTTATTATTTTTAGGTACCACTTTACAATAAGGCTCCTCTTATAGCTGGTTAATAAATAGTTTATAGATGCACATTATTTAATCCTCTATAAACACTTCATAAATCATCAATAACTGATTATTATGCATTAATTAAGGGCAAGAAAGAGACAAAACTGACCAGTTTCTTGCCAAATACTGAGACAAATCTGTTCACCTATATATTACATCTAGATTTGTTATAATTAAACATTTCAGACTAAGTTACTACCTTGTAAGCACAGTAAGCATTTGTAAACCTATTATTTTAGGATATAATATTAATTGTAGATACTTATAAAGGAGTGATAAAGTACAATATTAAATGCTACAATAATTGGTTCACAAATGTGTATTGTGCTTACAAGGTAGTAACAGTCTGAAATATTGAATACAACAACTCTAGATGAAATATATAGGTGAACAGATGTGGCAAGAAACTGGTCAGTTTTGTCTCTCTATCACCCTTAATTAATGCTTAATAGGCAGTTATTAATGATTTATGAAGAGTTTATAAAGAAATTAATAATGTATCTAAAAAATATTATCCATCGATAAGGGGAGCCTTATTTTAAAGTGGTATATTTCTGTTCAATGGCCCTGAGATGACTTCTGTTTAGGCCTGTCACGATAACAAATTTTGCTGGACTGTTAATTGTCTCAGAAATTATTGCGATAAATGATAATATTGTTTGAAATTTAACAATATTTAGTAATTATTGTCAAATTTAGGAAGAAATGTTGGTTAATTTGTTTTGTGTGTAGTACTTTTTTTTGACCAACAGATGGCAGTATAAGACTGTTTGAACTGAAGGATGGATAGTGAGGGAGCGAGCAGCGTGTCTCTAAGAAAAATGGGAGGGAGGCCCCTTGACATGACATGGACTGTCTCTATTTCCTTTTTTCGGTTCTCAAAATGGTGGACGCTCTGTGTGGATTGAGCTCTTTAGCATAACATTTGTCACACAAAGCTTTTAATTTAAAAAAATCAAACATGTTCTCGGAAAAAAACAACTTTTTAGACGAAGGCACAGGTTTCAACTGTGAATTTTGAAGCTTCGACAAGACAGAGTCCGTCCCCCACGAAGTCGGCCTGTTAGCTTAGCTCATAGCTTAGCTTCTCAGCTTAGCTGCTTTTAACGATCCAAAAACACAATTTTGGACGATTAAAACGGATTTTAAAGAGAAAGGGAGGGTTCAGTGAAGAACACCGGAGTTGAACCTTTTGTCTCTTTCAGTAGAAAGAGAGACACGAAGAAACGATAAAGCAGATAAATGAAAATGAGGTCGATAATTTGCATTTATCATGCAATTAATTGATTTATTGCTTATCGTGAGAGGTCTACTTCTGTTGTGACTTGGCGCTATATAAATAAACTGAATTTAATAGAATTAATACAACCCAATTTATGATAGTGACCTTTATAAGCCTAGCTGTAGTTGCATACCAACATGGATGTTGGCACCTCACTTATTTATCAAGTTATGGTCGCAACATGCACGGACAGACGACAGGCGGGTATGCTCAACTCCCCCTCTTTGCTCCGCGACAGGGAACAACAAGATGCTGTGCTGGGATGACCTACTGACTCAGTAAGTGGGCTTCACTTAAAAACCAGAACCGAAGAAGTCCACTGTGAATTCTTGGTAAAACTATAAACTGTTAGCAAATATTATATACATAGACCATTAATCCTTCAGGGAAAATGCGTCACCAAAAACAGGTGTGACCACTGAGTCAACATTTTAAAGAGCTCAAATTATTTAAAGAAAACTTCCGTAGCTTTAGTTTCTCCTCTCCTCAGACAGCCTGAGAAGCAGCCCCACCCGTCCAGATAAGAGCCGACCACAGGAAAACAATTAGCCGTCAGTTTGCATTAGGAGGAAGTTTTATGGCACAAAAATCCGACTTAATGGAGCTGAGGACACGCCGAGCTCTAATGCTGTGGTAGGACGCACCTTCTTCTGGCGAGGTTTGTGTGACTGCAGGCTGACAGCGCTGCAGTGCCTTCTGGGTAACTTCGCTGAAACAAATGTCTGCGTTCCAACAAGCCGCCTACAGCGGCAGCTTTTCAAAAGGTTCAGATTACGGGACGCTGGTTCTGTCTGCTTTACAGGAACTACAAGACTAACTGCCAGTCAATAAACAGTTCACTGGAGCCTTGTAAAATCATTTGACTGTTAGATTCAGGACTCCTACCTGTGTGGAAATAGATTACTGTATAAAAAGTGTTAACATTAGCGATGAATAAATAAACGTTAAATATCTCTAAACACCCCTTTTTATTATCTTGTTTACAAAAATGTTGTGTATTAATAGTAGAGGTTCCCAAAAGTCAGTTCTGGTCTTCACTGTAGGTCATAAACCATCATGGTGGGGTCTTAAAATGATCTCCAGAAATCAAATCAGATTTTTGTCATATTTATTGTAAAACAGTTCAAATAGTTGAAAAACCGAAGATGTTTGTGTTCGCCCATGTTTAATTGGAACATTAGCTTTGCTTGTTGCTCAACCAGAGATAATCTGGTAATTTGAAGGTCAGGAGTTGAAATGTTTGGAAAGTTTTAGGAGGAGAAGATGCACAAAACTAGAGTTCAGTGGTTTTATTCTGCTCAAGTCCTCGTGTTCTCACCACAGTTCATGTCTGTATTTAATTAGTCGTCTTTAAAATACTGAAATTTACCACAATAAGACGTAAATCTTTACTAATAGAAACACTAGAGCGCTAAAGGCTACAAAAACAGATAAAAATAGTTTCTTATAAGCTGTCACTTATTCCAAATGTTCTAAATCAGGGTGCCCAATACGTTGATAGCGATCTACCGGTCCATTGCAATCAGTTGATCGCAAAGGTAATATGAGTAGATCGCGTGGCATTAAAATAATAGACGTCAGCCTATCATCCACTTCACTATGAAATTTGTCACTTGATTGACATCGAGGGCAGCCAGTGTGAGGCCAGGCCCTGACACATGGGTCACCACACATACACATACAACTGCGCCAAGAAATATCAAGCTACCGAGTTGCCTAGTTAGCCCCCAGTTTATTTCTTCTAAACGAAACTCTAGAAATTATATAAAATGAGTGGGGGAGCTGGACCAAGTAAGAAGCAAAAAACCTACCATTTCCATATGGAATGGGAGGAGGATTTTTTTTTTCACGATGTCATATTCGAAGTGCGTTTCCCTCATCTGCTAGTCTGCCATTGCTATTCCGAAGAAGGGAAATGTGGAGCAGCATTTTCGAGCTATTCATAAAAACTAAGACACCGACTTCCTTCTGAAAAGCGATCTGAGAAAGAAAAAGATGAAGGAGCTAAAATCCCAGTTATCCGGACAGCAGTCATTTTTCCTACCACGAAAGCGAAGAAGCTACCGATGCATCAAGTGAGTCACTGAATAACTAATTGCTAAGCACAAGAAGTCGTGACGAAGAGAGGGTAAAAGAGGGATTTGTTGAAGCAGCTGACTCGTTGTTCCAAGATTTTAAAAACAACCCAGAAATATTATCTTGGATCAAAGCTCTCCAGGTATCAAGAAGTACGGTTACATGGCGATGTGATGCCATGTCCGAGGATTTCACCCAGCAACTTTGGAAGGACTGCGAGTGTGTTTCACTGCAATTGGACGAGTCTACAGACATGAGTGGCACAGCAAATAAGTACATGTTTTGTACTTTTATAGTAGGTAGATCACTTTGACTCGGTCACTTTAAAAGTAGCTTGCATGCTGAGAAAGTGTGGGCACCCCTGCTCTAAATGAACCGTTGTGCCCGATTAAACTATTTTCATCCTAATCTTTTTTATTTTGTCTAATCAAACTGCCGTTCCATTAAAGCATCTTCTTGCGTCACATTATTGGGGACTCGCCTATTATTCGACACCTTGGAAGTGAGTCTACATTTCAATCTCTGTTAATGCGGCCCGAACCACAATGTCTACCCCCACAAAACTTCTATCAAAACGACCGGCTCGGCCCCGTGATGCGTGCTTTTACTTTTATTGGCAATTGGAGTTACCATGGCGACATATTTTGCTAACAAAAGATGCCAAATTTCCGTTAAGAAATGAACAGGAGAAAAAATTTCAAAGAAACTGAGTAACGTATGGCGCCATTTTGGTTCAACATGCATGGAAGGCACTTATTATTACCTATTATTATTATTATTAATTAGTAAAAATAATAATTCACAACAATTATTAATTTAAATAATTATACATATAAATATTTATAACTATTAATATTAACTATCATTGTGAATATTATTAATAATAATTAATAAATTAACAATATAGTAATAATTATTAATATTAATTACTAAGTAATATTAATTATTAATGTTAATATTTATTATTAATAATAATTTAATAATAAATAGGCCGTCCCCGTCAAAGTTTCTCCAGGAACGTTCTAGTTGATGCTTTCATGTGTCGTTGGGACCAAATTACATTTCGTTCATCTCCTAGTTATAGTTTTTAATCAACTCTGAAGTGAAGTGTGGGGATTGTTCGGGTTGCGTGATTGGGGGGGGGGGGGGGGTGTAGTCCTGTTGGGTTTACCTGCAGAGACTGGAGGGACTCGGAGTTAGTGTCGCAGAACAGGATGATGTTGTTGGCCATGCTGAAGCTTTCTCTGACCCCCAGGTGGTAGAAGAGCGAAGGCTGGCGGAAAGCGTCGGTCATCTCCACCACAGCGATGTCTGAAGACAAAAACAGGGACAGGGTTCATGTTAAAAGTCAGTTTAACCAGCTGAGCGAGCAGGACTACAGATGCTGAGCTGTTCTTATGTTGGTTTATCATCTAAAAGTCGATCAACACAACAACGGTTTTACAGCCAAATTTTATTATCAAGTACATTTAGCTTTTTATATTCTTTCTGGAACAGGTCCCTCTTGAAAATGAAGTGGGTACAAAGTGGGATGAGGTGGGTTTAGTTTAGTTTGGTTTGGTTTAGTTTATTATTTTTTGAATATGTAAAAAAAAAACAAAAAAACCTGCAACTGAATTGTTGGGCAATAAGGCCTTGGCTGGCGTTTCGCTTTATTGTGAAAGGGTTCAACCGGTTGAAGTCAAGGATTTCGTGTTTATTTGCAAAGAGAAGCAGTTTGGGTTTAGGAACCTCGCAACAGAAGAAACAAACTAGAACGTTCCTGTAGAAACTTTGATGGGGACTGCCACATTGCGGCCATTTAAAAAAAAATATTTGACAACACTACGTCTTGGGGTTCGCTCTGAGCTACCACCACACCAAATTTCAGCTCAACATATTTTAAAATAGTTGACTTATACTTTTTCCCCTTTCGCCTAAAGGCAGCCATCTTGGATTTTTGATCTCGGGGGGCCGAGATGGGGTAGGGATAGGTCAGCCAGCTGGGGACCAGGAAGTCTTGGCTCGACTCCCAGTCATTCACATGCCGTGGTGTCTCTGAGCAAGACTCCTAATCCCTAATTGCTTCCCGGGTGCTTACATAGCTGCCCACTGCTCCACCTGGGTGTATCTCAGGTGCGATGGGTGAAATGCAGAGAACTAATTTAGCCATTGTTTGGGAACTTACAATGATGACAATCTCAGACTTCCCTTCCCTTGATTTACATCAGGAACATAACAACTCACTCTCTGCTACAACTACACCAAATTTCAGCTCAATATCTCAAAGAATGGCTGAGTTGTAGTCAATTTTGTGTTTTCTCAGGTAGCTGTGGCAGCCATCTTGATCTAAAATGGCTCCACAAGTTAATCAGAGTGGTTTTTTTTTTCAGGGATCTCTCCACTCTAGGTCATGTGACCTCACTGTGTCAGATTAGAGGCTGCGAAGAGTTCCGTCAGCGTATTTCAATTAGAAAAATGACGTCATTGTTTGCAAATCGCGTCGCCACGGTAACTCAACATGCCAATAAACGTAATGTTGCACATCACGGTGCCGAGCCGGTCGTTTTGATGTAACGGTTGTGGTGGGACACGTTGCTGTTCGGGCTGCATTAAAGCTGAAGGAAGAGCAAGACCCCTTTGACAAAATTCATATCAAGAAACTTGCAAAACAAATTTCTCAAACCTCTCCAGTACCAGTTGGTTGTAGTCTCTGTTCTGCAACAGTAAAGTACCACTTTTCCATTATGAGGAAGAACAAGTGGTTATTCAGCTTTTCAACTGAAGCATTAGGAACATCTGGCTAGCTGATTGAAACCTAATTATTAACTCCCAAAAGAAAAGAAGCCTTTTTCTTTCCTGCAAGAATAAAACTCATTGATGGAGGACGAAGTGGCGAGGAAGAGGATGGGAACAGCAGCACAGCCCAAGTTCTTCAAACTGCCCTCTCTACCTTCAACGGCCTTTTAGTTCCCACTAAAACCACAATCCATGCTCTCCCACTGTCCTCACATCAGATTCCCTTCTTAAATCTTGTCAGTGTCCTGTAGTTTTTTCTTTAGCATTTGAAAATAGTGCATGTCAGTAAGTGTTGGTATCTGGTTCTTCTTAAAACAAATATCAAAGGTGAGTAGGCTCACCATTTTTAATCTGTTAGCAAAATAAACACGTTTAATACCAGCTGGACTTAATTATACGATCGGGATCAAGAAGTCAAGAGGAGTAAATATCGTCAAGTGCTTCTCTGTCCAGCAGGTCCCCGCTGATGGAGCGGAGGGTTTATGGTCTGGAACAGCACGTCCACTGCAAACCAAACAGCCTGACACGGTGCAGATGACGCCTTGCTCGTCTCTTAGAACGAGCACGATTGTGATCTAGAGTTTCAGCCGTACAGCAGAATGGTGAACCGTGTTTGTCAGATTGCTTGGAGCCGCTGATAACACAAACAAATCGGCACAAAGGCTGTACTCCTGAAATAACAGAAGAGCTCAGAGTCCCAGAGATAAAACCCCGCCCGGTTTTTGTCACGTTTCCAACCACCCACCTCATTCTGTCAACAAACACACGGAGAGTCGATGTTTTCCGAGTCTCCTGAGCAACTCTGGGTCATTTTAAGGTCATTTAAGTTAAATATTACTCCACTAAAAATGCACTCTGTTGTTTCAGGTCGTGTAAACTCAGGTGATAGCTGGATTCAATTTCTCTTTTTGAAGATCGCCTGAATGCATTTTGATCCTGAGAAGCCAAAACCAAAGCTGGATACTGCTGGGTCACGGGGGTCGCCGGTGCCCATGTCCAACAATCACTGTGCGAGGGGCGGAGTACACCCTGGACAGGTCTCCAGTCCATCACAGGGACACATAGAGACAAACAACCATCCACTCTCTCTAACCCAGGGACAATTTAGAGTTACCAATCAGCCTAACATGCATGTTTTTAGTCTGTGGGAGGAAACCGGAGTACCCGGAGAAAATCCACGCAAGCACGGAGAGAACATGCAAACTCCACCCAGAAAGGCCCCTGGACCGGGATTTGAACCTGCTCGCTGAGAGGCAGCAGCTCTGCAAGGAAAAGGGGCATTACTGATGGTTTCTGTAGCCATGGTGTCATAATGACATCATTAAGAGGTGGATAAACTCAGGCAGGATACCACTGAGGGCCTGTGTGTACAATGCACGGTCCGGCACTGCACAGCTGCTCTGTTGTTAGATCTACATCATCCCGAGGAGGTTAACTGAACCTCACATTCCTCACAGAGCTAACGGTTTCAATCTTTGTGGTTGAGTTTGTGCTAAAGTTTTTAACTTCTCGTGACATAAGAACTGCCTAAAACCACCGTCAATTGCAGATTAAATTTGTACAAAGCTGTAAAAACTGTCCGTTCTTTGTCAAGAGAAGCTGCAACGCTTAATCAGGACCCAATGCAAAGACTATGCAGATGACTTTCATGTTAACAAGAGATTATACTCAAATGGCTTCATGTTGGAATATGGCAGGAAATTATGTTGATAAAGTTGCGCTTTACACTTTTTTTTAAGGCTTTATTTAACATTTCCCAATTTATTTACAAGAGTGCTGACCAAAGTGCTTCACAAGGAGGTCAAGAAATAATTTACAAACTTCTTTACCAAGGAACAAAAACCTGTCAAGACAGTCTTTGTCATCTGTAACGTGCCGAACACGAAGCGCTTTATTTAAAGTGGAAGACTTTGAATGATGCGCTTCCTTGTGCAAGATCCTCCCCGACTTCTCTCTGGGATGTTATCGAAGATGAAAACATGCATCTGACTTCTCAAACCCTTCAGCTGTGAGACGTACGCGTGTGTGTGTGTGTGTGTGTGAATGTGCAGCTGTGGGGAAGATTCAGACGATTCTCTGGACGTTCACTCCCTGAGCAGAGAGAAAATAGCTCCAATTCACCCACATGAAATAACTTTTTGGATGGTTTTAATCTCTTTTTGCTTTGATCTGTTATTTATGTTCTTTCCTACAGATAAAGCTCTATCACACGGAACACTATCTGCAAAGAGCTGCAGCTGCAAACGGCTAAAGAAACATTTCAGAACTCGACGGAGACCAAACAGACTAAGCGGAGATCACATTGTAGACAAATTATGAAGAAGGTAAGGAAATGGATTCACAACTAGAGTCAATTTATTGTCATTCGCACCTCATGTGGTACATGTGGTGGAGCGAAATTATGTACACAGGGTCCCAGTTACAGCAAACAATAAAATGTATAAGAAAAACAGTAATAAGATCTAAGATTTGAACTAAGAAAAACATCAACTAAATATACACTAAGCACTAATATCAACATCATTTTCATTTATCGACTTTATCATTTCTTCATGTCTCTCTCTTTCTACTGAAGACACTGGATGACAAAAGGCTCAACCCCGGTGTTCTTCACTGACCCCTCCCTTTCTTTTTAAAATCTGTTTTAACCATCTAAAATCATGTTTTTGGATCATTAAAAGCAGCTAAGATGAGAAGCTATGAGCTAAGCTAACAAGCAGACATCGGGGGGAAACCTCCGTCTTGTCGAAGTTCCAAAATTCACGGTTGAAACTCGTGCCTTCGTGTAAAAAGTTATTTTTTTCTGCAAAAAGAAGCCGAGAACTTGTTTACTGATATTTTTTTATTAAAAGCTTTGAGTGAAAAATGCTAAAGTGCCCAGACTACACTGAGCGTTCGCCATTTTGAGAACTGAAAAACAGGAAGGGGAGACAGCCCATGTCACGTCAAGGGGCCTCCCTCCCATTTTTCTTAAAGAGACACGCTGCTCGCTCCCTCACTATCCATCCTTCAGTTCAAACAGTCTTATACCGTCATCTGGTGGTCAAAAAAGGTACTACATTCAAAATAAAATTATTTCTTCTTAAATTTGACAATAATGACTAATTATTGTCAAATTTCAAACAATTTTATCGTTTATCGCAATAATTTCTGAGACAATTAATCGCCCAGTAAAATTTGTTATCGTGACAGGCTTATTCGCAACAGCAAAATACTCCAAGCAGCACGCAGATGCTCGCAGTTTGACTTGGAGCAGCACAATTCAAGACATCACATGAAGACATCACGCAGCTTCATGAACCCATCGAGCATAATTTAAACAGGTGCTCATTAATGGCCTCGGAGGACGAGTTTCTCATCATCAAACCTCGGTTTTCTGGTGAGCTTTTAAAAAAAATAGCTTCCATTTCCATGAGTGCTCTGAGAAGCAGATACAAGGAGTTTTGGGCTCTGGCTCGGTGGAATATCAACGAACAGCGTGCTTTCTCTGAACGAGCAGCACCAGGACGTCTGCTGCCTGAAAATAAGTGCAA